GATGGATTGATGACTGCGTTTTTCCTTACTGGAACGGAGGAGAGAAAGGAGTGTTGATTTCTCAAGGAGAGAAGAGATAATACGGACTGATTTATTGTAAGTGAACTGACATTGGCTATTCAACACGGATTTTGCAAATTGAGTATTCCCGACTGGACTGACTGAAATGATACATGACTAATGGACCGTTTATTTTGACTATGCTATAATTCCTAATGGAATAAACTATATTTTTGATAGCACAAGCGTATCTGTTTTTTACTGCGTGTTAACTAAAATACAAACTTATCTCACACATTTACCTGTCTGCCTATCTGACTACGCTACACATTCTGTTTAGTTTGTTTTCCTTAACACTTGTTGGGGAATTCAGGCTTAACAGGTGTCTCACATTAAGAAAATCTTGCCTTGTTTTTTAAAGTTAAGGTGCCTGAAATATTGTCAAAAAGAAATGACTAGTTGTTTTAAAAAACTACTTGCTCCCTTTATGAAACCAACGCAATGACAATTTGATTTGATTTGGAATTGAAGACTTTGTTGCGCCATAAAACTGTGATTTATGAAGGGCATTCAATTTCTTTAGAAAAGACAACATTGTAAGTAGCTTTAGATTTAGCTTTTTAGAGCTTAACATTGTCAAAATCAACAAAAGAACTGATTGAGAACAGCTTAGGAAGGTATAGGAAAAGTGAACATTTTTGGGATAACCAAATGTTGTTTATTATGCACAGGAATTGAGTTCTTTCACTAAATCAGAAATGTCCTTTCCCCCCAATTGTCATATTTTTATACACCTCTTGCTAGCAGTGTCCCCTAGCAGAATAAGCAGGGGCCAGGCTGATAAAAGCAGAACAAACCCCATTCTTTTTCTCTGGGCATTGCACATAAATCTTTTCAACACTGCTGCATATTATTTTTGTTACCTGCTTTAGAAATCCTGCTTTAGATTTCTAATAACTTATCTAAAAATAGGGCATGTTAAAATTGGAAAACTACCCTGTGGAGTACATGGAGTATGAAGAATGTCATTCTGTAATAAAGATATAATGAATATTCTGCCCAAAAATATGAAGTAGCAAAAATAGTCCAAAAATATATTTAAAGGTAAATCATGAAAATGCTCAGCTTATTTGACATTCCTAAAAATATATTGATGGAAAGTTTTGGGGATCTCTCGGTTACAGTTCCTGTGAAAATTGCCATTCTCAGAAACCTAAAACTTTCCTCACAAATCTAAGTCTATGCTACAAAATGTTCCATGACCTGTGAAATATGAGATTAGTATCTTTTTAATCTAAACATGCTGCAAAACCATAGATTTAGAAGATTTACCTTTTGAGTCTTGTAGGCTGGAGAGGAAATAGCTCATCTGAGGATTTCCTATGGATTCTGGATTTATAAAAACTTCAGGCAAAAATGGTTGTTCAGGAGATGTTAAAATGTCTAAATGTTAAACTGTTTTCCAGACACGTTATCTATTATTTTGGTTGTACTAGTTAACACTTTACGACCTTTTTTGCCACATTTGTTAAGTGAATCACTGCAGTTGTTAAGTTAGCAGCACAGTAGATAAGTGAATCTGGCCTCCCCATTGACTTTGCTTGTCAGAAGGTCGCAAACAGTGATCACATGACCCGAGGACACTGCAACTGTCATAAATATGAGTCATTTGCCAAGTGTTTGAATTCTGATCACATGACCTTTTGTGGCAACAGTTGTAAGTGTGAAAAATGATCATAAATAACTTTTTCCGGTGCCATTGTAAGTTCAATAGTTCATTAAATCAGTGGCCCCCAACCTTTTTTGTGCCATGGCCTGGTACCGGCATCACAAAATGATCCGCGGCCCAGTACCGGCATCACAAAATGATCCGCGGCCCAGTACCAGCATCACAAAATCATCCACGGCCCGATACCAGCATCAGCACGCATGGCAAGGTGAGCCGAGCGACTGGCCAGCCAGCCGTCCCCCGCTTCTCCCCGCCACCTTCAACTCCTCCTTTGTACCTTTGTCGATGGGCTTCGGGACGGCTTCGGGACGGTCGCTCGGCTCGCCTTGCCTTGGGTGCTGAAAGAATCCTCACGCCTTAGTTTTGTTCGAAGCCGCCCCCCCCCTTCGATGAAACTAAGGCACGAGGATTCCTTCAGGACCCAAATGCTGCTTTCCAACCGGAAAAGCTCACCGGAAGCACTTTCTCATCAAAACCAGATGGCGGCGCCCAGCAAACCGACGGCCCGGTAGAAAATGTTCCACGGACCGGTACCAGTCCGCGGCCCGGTGGTTGGGGACCCCTGCATTAAATGAACTGTTATATTTATTTGTTTGTTTGTTTGTCAAGCAAGTATTAGATAACAGGTGTAAGTATAAACATAGTTATGAATATATAAAATGGATACGAATAAGAAAAAAAAGAAACAATAGGACAGGGACAGTAGGCACGTTGGTGCGCTTATGCACGCCCCCTACAGACCTCTTAGGAAAGGAGTGAGGTCAATAGTAGACAGTCTAAGGTTAAAGTTTTTGGGGTTTGGAGAAGAAACCACAGAGTCAGATAGAGTATTCCAGACATTAACTACTATGTTGCTGAAGTCATATTTCTAGCAATCAATTTTGGTGCGATTTACCTTGAGTTTGTATCTATTGTGTGCTCTTGTATTGTTGTGGTTGAAGCTTAAGTATTCATTGACAAGTAGGACATTGCGGTAGATAACTTTATGTACTATACTTAGATCGGACCGAAGGTGCTGTAGTTCTAGGTTGTCTAGGTCTAAAATTTTATATAACTGTTACTGGCTGTAAATTTGTTACTTACAAAAATAACCCCTCAGAGTTGTTCATTTTACTCTTTTAAATTCCTTTAGCAATGTGGCTCAAATTAAAATTTCCAGTCTGACTTCCTGGGAATTATCTTGCATTCCACTCCAAGAAAGCGGATTGGCTTTAGAGGAGAGGACCTCAATCAACAATGCCACTCCCAAACATGGCTCATATGGTAGGCAGAGGTGGGATTCTACCAGTTCGCACCTATTCGCTAGAACTGGTTGTTAACATTCTAAGCAGTTTGGAGAACTGGTTGTTAGAAGAAATTATTGGCCTAATCCTGTAAGGAAAGCAGGAAGGAAACATTCTAGTGTTGCTTACAGAAAGAAACTGCCTCTCCGTTAACCCTTATTACAGTCTTGGCAGTTCCTAGTCTCAGGAACTTCTCTGGAGTTTTTTTCCCCTCCTTTGTTGGTACTTTGCTTGTGTGGAGTGACCATTCAAAGTTACAATGGCACTGAAAAAAGTGACTTATGACCATTTTTCACACTTACGACTGTTGCAGCATCCCCCACAGTCATGAGAGGCCAGGCAAGGAAATGCATGCCTCAATGTGACTGATATTGAGTTGGCCACGCCCAGCCAATAACATGACCACCAACCCACACCCACCAACTAAGCCACTCCCATAGAACCGGTTATTTAAAAATTTGAATCCCACCCTTGATGGTAGGGCTGCCACCGACTGAACCGAAGATAAGGTATGATAGTAAGCTGTCTTAAAATTGCTGCCATTATTCCAACAGCATCAGCTTTCCAATTACAGGTAGTCCTTGACTTCATTTAGTGACCGTTCAAATTTACAACAACACTGGAAAAAAGTGACTTATGACCATTTTTCATACTTATGTTGGTTGCAGCATCCCCGTGGTCCCCATGATCAAAATTTGGACAGTTGGCAGTTGACTCATATTTATAACAGTTGCAGTGTCTTGGGATCAAGTGATCCCCTTTTGTGACAATCAAAAACAATGGGGAAGCCAGATACATTTAATTGTGTTCCTAACTTAACTGCAGTGATTCACTTAACAACTGTGGCAAGAAATGTCGTAAAATGGAGGAAAAAATCACTTGACAAATGTCTCACTTAGCAACTAAAATTTGGGGCTCACTTGTGGTCATAAATCAAGGATTATATGGATTAATGAGGTTACCCCATATTTTAGTGAAACAGGCATAGATATAAGCATTATTCCTGTGTGCTGAACTTATATTTAACTAGTCTTCAACCCATTAATATTACAACTTTTAGTAATTAGGGCACTTGCTTACTTAGTAAAGGGCATGTGTTTGAGATTTGATGTGTGTATGTGTGTGTGTGTGTGTGTGTGTGCATGTAAGCGCAAATGCCAAGTTCATAAAAATTTACAATTTGTTTAGCTAAAATAAAATCTAGGGATGAATAAATTGGATTAAATTAACTAAGAGATATAGATGATACACTCTTAGTAAGTAACAGTCATAATTTGATCTGTTAAATATGAAGTAAAGCTTTCTAAACAGTTGTAATCTCATCTTCTAGGAGCACATGCTTGTTTCTGTATTACAGAGCAGCTCTTAGCATATCAGACTATCTCTCACATATCCCAAAATTTTCACCTCATAAAACAAGCTTAGTTGCTTATTATGAGGAGTAAGAGGATGTGCTTGCTGCATGAAAATAAGAATAAAACTCCCTGTGTAAGCACAAGTTAACTTCTTTGTAATGCCATAATAAGAAGCCACTTTCTAAACAGGATTAAAAGAATTTTTCAACAACACTTTAGATGTTGTTGACCTACAATTCTACTCCAAAGTATCTGTCATCATTGGCTTTGATAAATAGAACTTCTGAGAGGTGTAATGCATCAGTATATGGAGGTATATTGGTTTTCCCACTCCTAGAAGCGGAGACTGAGCTGAGAGTTGAAAATAGTATTTATTTTGTAGAAAAACAAATATTCTGAACTATAAAGACGATATCTTAGAGAAGTGTTCCCCAAATTGGTAGACTCATAGTATATAGAAGTAAAAATTGCCATAAGAAAATACTGAATTGCATTTATAAAAGATATAGTCCAACATATCTGGAATGTGTCAGATATGGGAAGGCTGTTCTAGAAAATGTGTGAAACCTATGCATATAGTTATTCTTTACTTTATATTGTCATCTAAATATATGTATTTCCAATGTTTTTCAGGTGCTGTTTGCTTTGAATCAAACATTATTACAACATGAAAGTCTTCGAGCTGGCAGCTGGCAGGCTCCTTACACAACCGAAGACCTCATCAAGCATTACAATTGTGGTGACTTAAATGCTGTTATATTCAACCATGATTCTTCACAGGTACGATGATTTCAAATTGTCTAACATTTGGGCAACACCAAAAAGGTATGATTGTAGCATCTCACCGTTACAGCTGTTTCACATTTAGTTTCACATTTCTTTGGCATTGTACTGTTATCTGGCTTGAATAGATATGTGGAGAAGTTAAAACAGGTATCACCCATTGATATTTCCCTATCCCACTAATTTCCCAAAACAAGTATTTGATTTATCACTGGAGAGATAAAGAACTGGAGAGATAAGGAACCAACTCTTATTTAATTAAATTAAACTAAACTAAACTTAGCTAAGCTAAGATTATAAATCTGTGGAGTAATACAGAATTTGTTTATATGTGGAAGTATAGCTAAATCCTTGAAACAGGCATAAGAATCAAGGAAAAACATTGTATTTGACTATGATCCAGAGTACATCATTGGTTAAAATTATTCCTGGAATTAAAGAAAAGCTCCTGAAGACAGAATATGACTTTTGTTCATATACATTAATGGTAGTCAGAACTCAAAATGGATCTTCTTTAAAACATTTCTTCTTATCTAATTGAACGCTGGTCCTTTTCTCAGTTATAGATGCATCTCTTCTCAGTGATCTTACTGATTGGGGTGATGCGTTCCATTTTTTTGTGACATATGAGATGCTGTGTATTAATCAATTGCTAATTAAACTCAGTTTACGCTTTTGATTTCATTGCATTTAATTACAGTTAGTTATATATATGAATCTCTATCCCCTGTATGCTGGGTTTCATTTTCTCTCCCTCAAACTATAAGAATAAGAAAGAAGAAAATATTACCTTCTGAGTCCTCGTTACTTTTCCAGGTCTATCCAAGCGTGCAAATAAAGTTGTTGTTACAAACTCCATGGTCTTAGGAAGGACTTCCCATGTGCAATCCTCACCGCTGCCATTTTAGGCAAGGCCATTGTAGAACTGGACAATAACTTAGAGATGTTATTAGTAGTGAATAATCCTCAAAAGGCCTTTATATTGTTCTAAGACATCAAACTTGCCCCAGTGACATCTTCAAGATTTTGGTTGTCCCAAGTAATACCAGCATTTCTAGTAAAAATCTGTGTGGTTGATAATAATGACTTGATGACACAAGATCAAAATCAAGCATGTTTTGATTTTGGCCTATTCTGTAAAACAGTCAAGCAAATGTTCTCTTCAACAGATTTCACCATAGCAGTTGAAGACTTATTAAAACAGCAGCGCAAAAAAAGAATGTGCAAAAGGAAGTGGTGTGACCAGGTGGTTAATTCAAAAACTTATTTATTATATCTTAGGGGGGAAAATTGATGCCCTTATTAGGAGAAGGTCAAAGCATTTCCATCTAGAATAGGGGTATAAAACTCATGGCATGTGAGCCAGATACATCACGTGCTAGCCATGCCCACCCTTGGTTTAGCAAAGGGGGGAGAGTCACAATGTGTCATGTGACGACAATGTGACGCCATGAGTTTGACATCCCTGATCTAGAAGAACCATAAATACCTAATCTAGGAGATCTTATAACATGAAAATAGTTTTTGTAGGAGTAAGTTGCACTGATCAAAACTATTCAGAACAACAGTTTTGGAATTCCTTGATACTAGATAGCTCAAATTATTATAATCATAATGCTAGTTTCCCCTGCAATGCAACTCCCAAACTTGTCTAAAACATCTCAAAGGAGCCCATCTGCAAAAGGATCAAACCAGCTAATATCGCCTTGCCAATCTTGACTTGCTCTCTGCTCTCTCCTCTTTTGCTTGTCTTTTCTGCATCCTGGAAATTCTTACATTCTTCACATGTCTCTGGTTTCCTTGAGAAACACTATTACTATTACCCCTAGATTAATTTCTGTTCTATATGTTTTGGTCTAATGATGGATTAAAAGGTTTTTGAATGGAATGTGTGCATAATAGAAAGTTAACTGCAAGTGCTTGCAAGGCCATTGAATATAATTCCCTCTCCTCAGGACAAAAGACTTGTACGCCAAGAGGAAATGAGCATTATGGCAATAAGTTAAGAGGCCAGTTTATTTTCTAAACATCATAATTCATTCATAATTTGTGTGTTGTATGATTTTGGGGGGAATCTATTGCTTTCTCTTAGATCTTCTATGTCATAATGAACTTTGAAATGCTTTTGTGGTTTTCTAACTTCCACCCTATGCAAGCGATTCAAGTAGGCACAACTTATACATCTGTAACTGTCACCAGCAAAAGGTAATACAATGGAATGTGATCCATCCACTTTAAGGACTTTTGTGACACTGCTTAAATCACTCAGTTTAAATGACTTGGATTAATTTGGAAGCTTCAGATATATCTGATAATGGGTTTTAAAAATAAACAGAGTGCTATCCTTCAAATAACTAGAGGGGGGGAAGCTTACATTTCACCGAAAATAGTAATCAACAGCAACTTGTCTGTGACAGTAAAATAGAAATCTCACATAACCATTACTAAAAGTGAGGGGAACACATGTTTTTCAGTAAAAATCAATTATACCATCTTGATTTTAATTTCCACTGGGAACTTGAGCAGCAAACAAAACAAACACAAGCTTGTATTGATGGTGTGTGATTGTGTTACATATTTCTCTCCATGGTTTTCTCACTTAAATCCTTATTTAATCTCAGTAAGGCTGAACAAGACAAAGTTTATTTAGTTGAAGCATGTCAGAGAAACACAATAGGAAACAGCTAACTTTGTTATATGCATTTCTGCCACATGCTTGACTAATAAATTTACAGCACATTTTCTGGCAAAGCTGTCAAAGCGATACAAAACTTAGCATTGTTTAAAACGAAGTCAGAGATGTTGTGATTTCCCTTTCATTGGTCTCTGAATGGATAGCCTTTGCTTTCGAGTAAGAGTTCCCTGTTCAGATTTATGTTTCCATTAACATTTCCTGAGATTTGATTTGTATAAGCATTTCAATGCTCATGTTAACTTCCATCTTCGTTAGCCTTCATCTCATAATCAACTATATGTGCTTCTAGAGTATAGCCTCAGCTTGTGGTGCCATTTCTAAACTGATTGAAGTTTGTAGCCTTCTAACTCCCCACTGTCTGAAGTCATTATAATGTAGTATAAACAGATATATATCCATATTCATTTAGTTCTTTTTGTCACAAGTATTAGCTATTGAGGGAGATTTCTCTGAAGTTAGATTTACAATTTCTGATTGGCTCCTATTATAAATTCACATAATCATGTTAACATATGCATTTTAGCAATCATCTGTTCATCATTTGTACACAATCCTGTTTCAAAGTCAGTCATACAATAATCAATACCATAAATTCTTTTTCTCTTCTTTCACTCTTTCTGATAACTGTAAATCGGAAAACCATTGACAGTTAGATCCCTCTGCCAACAATTGTTCTCGATTTTATGTTGTATTCCACTTGACAGAATTCTATTGTCTCATGATACGTTAACCATTTGTGTTTTTCTATTGTTTCTTGTATATAACATGCTTATTGTGCTGAGAAACACAAAGGTGTTTGGGGCGCAAACTAGATTTACTGTGTATCTATTCCATATTCTTAGTGTAGCATATCTAACAAGGTGATTTTTAAAACCTACATTAACCTTGATTTTATCGTTCCACAAATATTCATGCCACCCAAATCTCAGGTTATGCTCTTCTAACTCAAAAAGTATTCTGTTTCTTGACAGTGATATAGTGTAAATGACGATGTGGAAATCAGAAAGTTAAATTTGGGAGGAGGCATTATTTGGCTCCGAGGGTCAATTAAATTAGGAATTATGGCCCTGTTGCTTCTAAGATGGTTCAGTATAGTAAGAGTCTGTAACCTTTATTGGTTCATAAGAAGCTGAAGCATAGATATACAACATAATTTATAAATGTTTTTAATTAAGGAGGTAGTCAAAGTCTTGATTTCTCTCAGCAGTAGTTGAGAGATAATGTGACCTTATAAAAACCATGACTGAGTTGTTACACTGTTGTAAAAATGTTGCCTATTTAAATAGGTCAAACTATACACTGTGTTTAATATGCAGTGCACAGTTTTGGGGAGGAGGGGTATTTTCAGATTCAAATTTCTAAAGATGGCATGATTATGACCTCTGAAGGTCATAAGTCAAGGTCTCTGGATGTGTTTGGTACAATAATTGTAGTAATTTGTATTTTAGAAAATTTGTGTGGTTCAGAAATAGGTTTAACTGATGCATCAATTGAAGCTTGGCAGTGACAAATCTAACTTGAGTTAAAATTAGATCCTCTGGATTTCTAAATAGATGTCTAGTGTAGTCTATCCTGCATGGAATAATCCTAGACTTCTGAGTAGGAGCTGCTCCAGGAAATATCCAAACAAAAGTAATACTTCTTTAAAAGTTTGCTCCCATCCAAAGATTCATAGTATGGGGCACCTCATTCTGAATGTTGTGATAGAGCACCAAAACTTATCTGCACAAAATCTTTCAGCAGTCTGTGTAAATTTATACCAACTCTAAGTCCCTTTAAGGAAAAAGAAGATTGCTTGTTTCTTGGACTTTCTCAGAGGAGCACATTTGTGTTTATGCTCCATGGCAATAAATTTTAGTCTTGTTTCTATGTATCCCTTTTGAATATGTTATCAGAACATCCTTCTTTCAGATATGTCCTTAAAGATTTAGGACCATTGATAAGTCTTAATTGCACCATCAATTTGCTTCTGGTCTAACACTGTATAAAAAACATAGTTGAATGTCTGGACAGTTTCCAAATCTGTGGAATGTTCTAGTTACAAAAATATATGAACCATATAGCCCAAGACCATTAGATACAATACTGAATGATGAGCAAAACTGTTATTTATTTAAGGAATGACATACTTGTGTAGCATGAGCTTTTTAAAATATATATATGTATGCATAATTCATGTTTAGAGTATTAAACCAATATTATTATGTTAGGTTAAAATTTTATATTGCTACAAATTCGGTATGAATTTTTGTCATTAAAGAGAAACAAAGCCATTATTCCAAATAAAGCTTTGTGAAATAGTTGTAGCCAGAAAAAGACTTTGGTCCCCTAAGCTACTGAAATAATAAGATTGCTGAGCCTCTAATCCTAGCCTATGTTCATTATACTAATTTTCTGATGACAGTTCAGGAAAGTTTACTTATTTGTGTGTGTGTGTATGTGTATATGAATTCTGGAAACTGGAACACAATGCATCAGTACAAAAGCCATTTTGTATTGCATGGTGGTGCAAGTGGTTAGAATGCTGTGATTGCAGGTTAACTTACTGCTCATTCGAGCAGTTCGATCCTCACTGGTTCAAGATTGTCTCAGCCTTTCATCCTTTCAAGGTCGGTAAAATGAGGAGCCATATTGTGGGGCAATATGCCGACTCTATATACTGCTTATAGAGGGCTGTAAAGCACTGTGAAGTGGAATATAAGTCTAAGTGCTATGCTATTGCTATTTTGCTTGTGGTTGTATAAAGCAAATATCATAGAAAGTTAAATATGTACATTTTACCAGTATTAATAAATAAAGCTCTATAAATATATATTAGAAAATCTTAGCCTGAATTGGGCAATATAATTCTATTGTCCAATTACTGAAAAAGGAAAATGTACAATATAAATTCACACTATATACTTAAAGGAGAATACAGAATTGGTAAAATAATGTCCATTTTTTTTAGTACATTCATTCTCTTCCATTTGGTGAGCTTCAGTATTCTCTGCTGTCCAATAAATTCATGTTGATTGAAAATATTATCCTCAAAATCTTTGAAATAGATTCAGATAGACATTAGCATGCCAATCAGATTACATTGCTTCATGAATATTAAGAATTCAAGAACATAATGTATATAGGCTAATTCTTAATAATTAGCTAATATTAAAAATAGTGATGCTAAAATTATTATGTAAATTCAAAGTCTTTTCAATGATATTTGGCTTTTTTCTAATAGATCAGTTTTAATTAGAACCATATTCTAATAAACAGATCTGTTAATAAAATACTGTGTCTTTTATATACAAATGCTGTATTGAGTAAGTAGTGAATAAAATAACCTACGTCTTGAGATAATATCTGTAATATAGATCTTGACTTAGAGATAGGAGACAGAGATATGTTTTCAAAAGGTTCTTGGTTTGTAAATCTTAATGTTGTATAACCTGTACTCTTAACTCTTACATTTATTGGGCTATATTAACATTAATAGAATCATAGAATAATCTTGCTCTGGGATGTTATTCACTGTTGAAATTTTTTACCTTACTGTAGAAAATTGTCATTTTAGTTTTTGCAAACCAACTTTATTAAGATTTTTCAAATTCTTGTTTGAAAGACACTTACAGTAAAACAGTGAAGTGGTAAGGAAACAGTTGTAGTAAAAAAAACAAAGGCTCCAAACTGTATTCTTGTTTAGTTCGTTTATGTTATTTATTTACTATAAGTGCTTTCTTGCCACTTCAGTCATTTCCCATCTTTCCTCTTTCTTTTGTAAATGTCTTTCAGCAACAATGTGCAAATATATACTGTAACAATACAGTAATAACAAAAGTCAAAAGTTGGCAGAGAGATTGTTCTTGAAATAAATTCTTTTTATTATATTTTTATTTTCTTGTAAAGTATAATGCTTAGTGACAGAATATCCTCTTAATTCTTCGTCTTTTCTGTGATCAAGATTATATGAGCTAATCTACTAAATTGAATAAATATTTTCAGTGATTAGAATTTCAGGAACTTTTTGTGAACGATAGCAAGAATTGAGAAGACCAAGACTGAGACTTGAACTTTTGCATAGATTTAAAATACTCACAAGTCTTCAAGAATCATAGGTTTCTCTTCTCGAAGTTTAAACTTGTTTTGAAAGTTCTACTTTAGGTAGGCAATAGAAGACCATGGGTACAAGAACTTTTTACTGTTTCAGATAGTACACCAATTGTGGCCTTTCTGAAATAAGATATCTGATTCAATAATGACAGATGTCCTCATAACTTCTAGGGTTGACTATTACAATACACTTTGAAGATCATATTGCATTAGAATGTGGCAGCCTGTTTATTGGCAGCTGAGAACCAATATAATTGTATAATACTGGTTTTGCAGACACTTCATTGACATCCAGTAGAATTCTGAGTACAATTCAAAATCCTAATTTTAATCTGTAAGTGCTGATTTGAACCTACAAGGCCTTTGTGTCTTTGCATCCACCTATCTTCAGGATTATCTCCTTCAGGCATAACTGATATTTGTTTATTCTGAATTGGAATGTTGATTCCCTGCCATATGCATGAAGGTGGTAGGGAAACAGGAGAATGTGGACTGTGGCTCTGATATTGTGATGGCCTTCAGGAAGGAAAAGATCTTTCATAGAGCTTTTAACACCTAAGATGATTGTTGCTGATAGATGTCGTGATGGATAGTTTTTTTTATATTTTACTATTTTTAAGTATTTTTTGTTTTTATGGGTTTTTAATGATATACTATAAACTGTTTTGAGTCCTTGTGGAATTAGTGATATATGGATATAATAAAGAAATTAAAAAAGATAAAGAAAAATACCTACAATGTGAATTCTAAACTAGAATGCTTTTGAAAACCAGATAAAATCCCAAAATTTCCCCCCTCCACAAAAGTAATATAAAACTCCCAGAAAATCTTGACCCTGCCCAGACTGATTTATGATCCTGGTCACCCCAAAAAAATTAAACCAGGACACCATATCAAAAGATTTCTTATGGTATAACCCATAAAATTAAGCTATAGTTAATCAAATCACAAAATAATGTATTGTGTGGATATAGATGACGTATGTGAATAGTAATAGCATTAGCATTTAGACTTATGTAGAGCATTACAACACTTTCTGAACAGTTTACAACGTATTTGCATGATGTCTCAAACATTCTGAGTCCTCATTTTATCAACTTTGGAAGAATGGAAGGCTGAGTCAACTTTGAGCCCTGTCAGGATCACAGTCCAGGCTAGACTGCAACTTAACCACTCTGCCACCAGGATTCCTGGCTCCTGAGTATAAGTGAGACAATCATTTTTGGATGTTTTAATGGTATTCCAATGCACCTTCAGTTATGTCCATGTGCTGATGGCTCAATAGAAACTCTAAGCTATATCCTATTAACATATATTTACATCTATGTCATCCATATCTATCTGTCTACGTCTGTCTGTCTGTCTGTCCATTATCTATCTTCCTATCCTATCCTATCCTATCCTATCCTATCCTATCCTATCCTATCCTATCCTATCCTATCCTAATAGAATATTATCTATTTTATTTATTCCATTTAAATTAATATCTAATAGTAGAAGATAGATAGTGGATGAGAAAGAGGGAGCAAGAGGGCTCTTCTGTTATTAGATATTTTATTTGTACCTGGTCTTAGGGCTATAATAAATAAATGTGTAGGTGGGTAGGTAGGTATGCAACCATTAGATGAAAAACGAGCTAAATGTAACTTGATTGTCTTACCTGTAAATTCAGGAACATATTAATTTTAAGGAGAATTTCTAAGCTAAACTTTATTAAGTTTAACCACTCTATTTTACCAATGCATTTCTAGTGACTACAAGCCAAGAGTAAGCTCAGGAATGATCCAAAGACACCTAGAGCATTATTGCTATGATGTTCTAGTTTTTTTTTTAAGGCATGAATCACCACAAAAGATAAACAAATAGTTTATAAACCCTGAACTAAAGCTACCTCTATGCTGAATAGTGGCTGATTGAAATTTTGACATTTTTGAAGAATGTCTGTTTTTCAGTGCTGGATAAATATTGTTTTATTAATGTTGAGAAGTAGTTCAACTCTACTTTGGTAAACTCTAGTATGGTAAACAGTATATTACATTATAATTAACATAGAAAGTGGATATCTATGTAAAATCAATTCCTGTGAAATCAGACCCTAGTGCAAATAGCCATCGTTATAACTAAGCACCATTATCTGGTCTTGACTTGGTCTTGACTCCTTCCTGCTACAGCTGGGAGCTTCTGGTTGCAAAATATGTTGTTTTTAACTGGGGAGGAGCTTAGTTACTGGTCAAGAATTAAACCCAAATTGGCAAGGTACTTAGTGGCAAGGAAGAACATATTCAGATGGCTCTCTGGAAGGACTGTAAAGGTATCATTCAGTCCTCATTACATTAAAAGGCAGAACAGACTGTTTGAATCCCACCTTGTTCAAATATGATATTAGAATCCTTTAGCTACATAATAGCTGGTCTCTAGAAATACCCTAAGAAAATACTGTTATTCTGTTCTTTGCCAGTGCCAGCAAAAAAAAAAAAAAAAAGTTGTTGACTCGGTTAAACCCTCCCTCCCAAAAAATAGTTTGTTGACTCAGTTAAAACCCAATTATATTTATTGTATCACTCCTTAAAAGAGACAGTTACATTTGAGAGTGGATGTATGTACTCTTCAGATACCGTGGCGCAAACTACAGAACTTTCATACTTTTTAAAAACTTGGCAATGCCAAGAAAGTGCTGTATTGTGCATAATGTGCACTTAGGGAGAAACGGATAATGTGATTCCCAGTTCCGCTGAAAATGATAATTTCCCTGAATCCAACATTTGCTGTAAGTTTTCTGAAACTTTTGCAAAAGTAAATGACAGTCCATTAGGTAATAGCTTATGGACAGAATATGGTATATTTGATCTATTCGCCAATGTATTTTCTCTCTCTCTCTCTCTCTCTCTCTCTCTCTCTCTCTCTCTCTCTCTCGTATTGAACAAGCCACTATGTACTGAATTTAGGTATCATGTGTTAGTTACAGAACAATACGTAGTACATTAAGCCCAAGCCAAATATATAATGCAGTGTCAATCCAATTATCTTTTAACAAATCAAAAGCTGTTCCCTCCCTCCCTCCCTTCCTTCCACTTTGTATTGTGTTTTTGCAAACAAACATATAAACCCTTTACTGCTACTATCGTTTTCTTCAGATAAATGACAACACATCTGCAATGACAAATATACTCTTAGCTACCAATATCTGACACAAATAGATAAGTTGCCACTTTTTTTCAACTATAAATATTATATATGTGTGTGTGTGTGTGTGTGTGTGTGTGTTGCCCTTTACTCTCGGTGCCCTGTCCCCTGCTCCACTTAGCGTTGCATGTATATTATTATTATTATTATTATTATTATTATTATTATTATTATTATTA